TGGTTCTCTGAAAAATCTTTTAGGGAATATAACCATTTCATATTAGAAATGTTGGGTCTTTTTGGATTATTCAGCCATCACTTTAGTACTATATCACTAATGAAAATAAGACATTACCACAGATGCAACAAGCCATTGTAATTAATAAGTATGGAAATGCCCCCAATCCTGTTAATTTAAAACGCAAAATTATTGGCAGAGTCAATGTTCACATTCTAAGGCAAGCAGCAATTGAATATCGATCCCAAGTCCTTTCATGTCGCACTTTTTACTCTGACAGGGACATTATGCTGGCCTAGACTAATGGACAATTTTTGCTATGATATTTTAGGGCTCTTCATATAGACAACCTTTTTTCAAGTCTATATCTACAGAAGATTAACTGAAACAAATACTGTAAATGGCTAATTTGGGGATAATATCTCTGAATTTGAACTGTTTGTATGATATAAAAGGGGTTTTGTGATGCCATTCAGTACTAATATATTTAGTTTTAATATAGCTTTTTGTCAAATATATTTTAGGATCTGTCAGTTTAATGGAGGACAATTTCAACCTGAAAAATCCCACATTTTTCATTGTTGCAGAGAAGGATGAGTACATTCCTGTTGACCAGGTAAGATATTGTTCTGGTTAGTGAATTTAGAATCACATCTCAGATGTACAAATAGTATAACAATCAATTATATCAGTGGGAATTGGTTTATAATTCTCCCCTTTATGGAGTCCTGGCTGTTCTGGATGGATGCAGTTAATAATTCTTTCAGATACCTGAGTGACACAAAACATGCCTAAACATACCATTATTGTATATGTTCCAGCAATTTCCCCCTTTTTAAAAGAGTCACTCTTCAACAAGGGGTCTGGAAAGAAAGATTGCTCTGTAAAGGATTTAGGTCGTTTTGGGACTCAGAGGCTAACCCTGTGAGAATCTGCTTCACGGGAGGGAAATGTTGCTTCGTGAATTCAGAAATAATAATAATAATAATGTTTGGGATTAATGTGAGAAGGCAAATTAAGCCACTCTTTGCAATCCTAGTACAAACCTTAAAATAGCATTATGAATCACAAGATTTTTCATATTTTTAAGATTTAGAATTTTAAAAATTCATATAGGACAAAACTTGAATTGGCTGAGCTTAACTGGGCATATCACAAAGTAATCATGCAACT